GCGGGAGCGCCACCGCGCTCCCAAGCGGCGCACTGTAGCAGTGCGCCACCGGGCCGGCCTCAAAGAAAAAGTTTTAAAAATTGATCATGCAATAGTCTGAGGTTTTAACTTCCCAGTAGGCTGTTCCACAAGCTCTAAGTACTGTGATCCAGGGCTGACGGGAAGGTGCTTTTCTGTCCTCATTGCCAGAGGAAGAAGGGGCTTTGTGATTTTTTCAATAGATTTCCCTGTGAGAATACAGCATTGTGAAGGTGAAGCATTCTAGAAACATCACTTTTCTGTCTGAGAAGACTGAGGCTCGAGAAGGGAAGCAGCTTGCTCAGAATCATGTGGTAAGTCAATGGTATCCCCAGGTTTCAAGACAGCAGAGGTACCCAGAGCACAGGCAAGAGTGATGGGCAATAACAACGCTATCAGCACCCACCAAGGGCAGGAGGGCATGATCAAGGGCACTGTTCAAAGTTCTCCCAATAGCCTTTGAACTCACCGCTGCCTGCATTTACTGTAGTGGACAACTGGAAAAATGAACGGAGTTTGACAAATTTCCAAACAAGTTTTGGTGTGCTCATACGTTAGCATATGTGTAGTCATTAAAAAGCACATGTGCAGATGTTCAACTTAACACATGATCAAAGACAGGCAAATTAGAACAACAGTGATGTACCTTTATTTTCCCCTATCAAATGTCAAGCATCCGCAAGGGTGATAATGTAGTGACCACTAAAGCATCTCTCACTCCAGCATGGTGAATAAAACAAAAGGTAAAACCTCCTTAAGCTGAAAGTACTAATCTGATGACAGTGATCAGCCTCCCCAGTTTCTGGGAACTACCTGCTTTCCCTTGGGCCCTGCATGATCCAGTTCACATGTGCTTTCTGGAGTCCCTGGGGAATCTGTCTCTCTTCTGCAACCCTGAAGCCGAAGCAGCGTCGATGACCACTCAAAGCACTCACTTTACTAACAACCACGTTAGAGCTGGAGGCCAGGCTCCCAGTTCCATCGCGAGCCTGCTGCTCTTACTTCCCAC